ATCATACTCTAGCAATTGTGAGCCACGGGGCAATGCAATAGTAAGTGAGCCATTGACTGATCATCCTTTTTGCACATGCAACACCAATTAATTGTAATCTGCCTTCTCCTTCTCAGGTTTTCAAGTGTCAGAATTTTGTCCCAAGCAGCAGTCCAAACAAAAAATGCCACTTTTAGGAGTTCCTTCGAATGCCACACTGTCTTCCAGTGAAAATTAACCCCTGAGAAACCCGAAAGGCAACAGAAAAAGACCCCGCGTAGAAGGCACCCAATAAAGGCAATCTGGGCCTCCACCATCCAGCGTCTGTCTATACAGTAGATCAAGAAAGTCAAAATTATCGTCCAATTCCCATCTTGAAAATGTCACCAAAAATGCACATCCTAAGTAATCCTTTCGTTATCAAGCCGATAACAATCAGCTACCAAAGCATGTTTGTCCACGGCAATCTTGAAAAGCTTAAGAAAGGAACAAGCCAACGGACGCCTGCCACACCAAATGTCCTCCTAAAACCGAGTGTCCCTGCCATCTTGAACTTTGAATCTGATTTGTTTCGAAAATTCATCGCAGCCCTTCCGAATAAACATCTAAACCCCAACACCACCAGGAGATCTGACTGCACGAGAGCACCACCCACCTCTCTCGTCCCCAAAATGGCAAGAGATGACCCTCCTCCATAACCGACGTCGCTCCCCTCCAAACCTCCAAAGCCACTTCCCTAGGAGGGCCCTGTTAAAAGGGATCACCTTCATAATACCCAAACCACCCAACTAAATAAGCTTGCACACCTGCTCCCAACGAACAAGATGGTACTTAAACTCATCCCCCAACCCACCCCAAAGGAAATTTCGTTGAAGTGGAGGCCCCGGTGAGGGACGACATGTCAGATGTCTGACGTGCTGTCTCCGATTTGGAGGCAAGGTCTGTGAACTAGATGGAAAATGTAAGGTGGAGGCCCCAGTGAGGGGCGACAGGAGAAAGTCAGAGGTTTGACGAGCTGTCTCCGATTTGGAGACAGGGTTCGAGACCTAAATGGAAATGACTAAGTGTTGGCTCAGTGAGGGGCGACATGGGAAAGTCAAAGGTCCGACTAGCTGATTTAGAGATAGGGTTCAAGACCTAGATTTTATGAAAGCTAACATCCCAAACCACCATTTCCATGAAGGATTGGAAATAACATGCACAATACTATCCTTATCATTGCAATCAGATATGACTTTAGAAAGAGTTATTCAAAACGACATCGTAATGCAAGGCAAGTTCGTGTGTATATTCATCCCCAAGAAAGGAGGAGCGTCGAGGGACTTTAGACTTGTTAACTTGGTGGGTTGTATCTATAAACTCATAGCCAAGGTCCTTGCCTTCGTGATTGAAGGATGTTTAGATGGTATCATCTCGGATTCCGAAAATGCGTTCATTGGTGGCTGATAGATTTTGTATTATGCTCTTATTGCTAACGAGACTGTGGACTCTGCACACTTGACTTTAAGAAGGCTTATTATGATCATGTGAGTTAGTTTTCTGCTTTACTTATTAGAGAGGATGGGATTTGGGGTGAGGTGGAGGACGTGGGTTGAGTTCTACATTTTCTCAGGAAGATTCTCAGTCCTTGTGAATGGCTCCTGGACTGGTTTCCTTAGTAGCTCACGGCGTTTGAGGTAGGGAGACCCACGTTCTCCTTTCCTTTTTATCATTGTGATGGACGCTCTCGGTAGGATGATGAGGAGGCCAGTCGAGTTGGGCTTCATCAGAGGCTTCATAGTGGGTAGAGATCAATCTAGTCAGTTGGAGATTTCCCATCTGGGTTTCCTCCCAGGCGACATATTTCAGGTGTGTTTTGATTCGGTTTCAGGCTGTATCAGGTCTTAAAATCAACGTGGGGAAGAGAGTGCTGGTGCCGGTGGGGAAGGTAGCAGAGATTTCTGCCCTGGCGGATATAATTGGTTGTGCAGTTGGCTCTTTTCCCATTTCGTATTTAGGGTTGCCTTTGGGGTCATCCTTGAGGAGAGTGGGTGGATGGGACCTAGTGATTGAGAGGTACTAGAGGCTTACGGGGTGGCAGTAGTACCTTGGGAAGCTAATGAAGAGTACACTACCGAGTCTCCTTACTTCCTACTCTCTTTTAGGTTCCTTTATCGGTGGCTAGTAGGATAGAGAGGATTCAGTGAAATTTTCTTTGGGGTGGTATGGGGGAGGAGTTCAAGTTTGGTGGGAGCTAATTTGTATGCCCATTCAGTTAGGTGGCTTGGGGATTAGGCCTTTGGTGCCTTTCAATAAGCTCTGTTAGGGAAGTGGCTGTGGAGATTTGGGGTGGAGAGGCAGAGGCTATGGAGAATGGTTACTTCTTGCAGATTTGAGGATGAGCAGGGTGGTTGGTGCTCTTGTGAGGTGAGGATCCCAGGCGGGTTTGGTGTTTGGAAGTTCATTCGGAATGGGTGGGAACCGTGGGATGAATTTTCAAAACATATCAAATTCAGAGTTAAGGATGGTAGGGACATTTGCTCGGAGGATATCTGGTGCCATGATCACTCGCTGGGTTGTATCTTCCCCAGACTATTTCGGATTGTTGTGGATAGGCATGCCTTGGTGTCTGACTGTTACTGATTTGATAGCGGTAGGATGTCCTGGGATGTGCATTTTTCGAGGCATTTTCAGGATTGGGAGGTTGAGGACGACATTGAGTTCTTAGAGCTTCTGTACAGCCAGGAGGTTGTTGGTGGAGTGACTGAATCTCGAATGTGAATCCTATATATTCTTAGGGGAGATTTGATGTGCGCTCTTTCTATAGAGCCCTTTAGGTTTTCCTGGGGCTTTCTTTCTCGTGGAAGGTTGTGTGGTGGATGATGGTCCCCCTTAAGGTGGCCTTTTTTTCTTGGGTGACAGTTCTGGGGAGGATTATGACCCTCAACAATTTGAGGAGGAGACAGATTGTTCTCAACCGGTGTTTCATCTGCAACAGGGATGAAGAGACGGTTGATCATCTTTTGCTGCACTGCCCGATAGCTAGGGATAGTGGGGGTCTGGTCTTAGCTTTGTTTGGGGCCTAGTGGGTCAGGCCTCGGAATTCGATATGGTTGATTGAGGCTTGGAGATGTAGTACAGTGGGTTCCGAAGCCCGTGACTGTTGGAGGGTGGCACTCTTGTGTATTTTTGGTGGTGCTTTTTGAGGGAACGGATTTGGAGGTCCTTCGACGCTGAGGAGACTCTTATTGGGGTGCTCAAATTTTTTAATTCTTAGTTCTCCTTTTTGTTGGGTTTCTGGGAGGAATTGTAAATCCACGGAGGAGAATGCACATATTGAGAGATTAGGGGCCCTATTCGGCTCTTCTTTTGATTCTGTGGGCTGCGGCAAACTGTATCCATGAGCAGTAATTGGGGGCTAATTTTGGTGTTTCAAAGTGCTTGGGTTGAATGATGAAGGTAGTGAGATTGTAAAGGATATTAAATGGGTGTAATCAAATCTTTTTGTGGAGTTTTAGAAAAGTTTAGGGGAAAAAAAAAGAATCAGAAAAAGTACATGAAGAAGCTAGGTATCACATCTAGATCCTCCTAGTCATCACATATGGGGCTAGAAGCCTGAAATTACATCATGCAGTTGCAGAAGAGTTTCAAAAGTTTTTGAATTATTTCTGATCTCTACTGAACTGTAAGCATTACGTAGCTATATATCCGTAGTTAATCTAACTCTAAAATGTCTAGGACTCAATATTGAAAAGTTAAGATTCACGTCGACCTACGAAATCAACAAATAAAGATCCAGTTTCACAATTTAACTAAGCAGATGACTCAGAGACGACAAAGCACAGATAATCTGGGTATAAGAGAAATGCCCTAACTCTATAACAGGAGAAACAGAAGTCGTTAGAACTTGTGGCTTCCTAACCTAAGCTAAATATAAAATAGGAGTCACCTAGATAATACAAGTTCAAAGTGGGCCCTATTTGTAAGAATAAATATCTTAAGATTTTTCATTTTTCCTTGGGCTTCTTATATTCTAGCTGAAGATTATTCTGCCAAAAGTTCTCTGTTCCCGTGGCAAATCTCCACAACCATTTTTCAGAAAAGGCTTTATTGTATATAATCTTCTTATTGCTGAACCCTCTTCTTGCACCAAGCAGTGTCCCAGATGATGTCTAAACTCCTACAGCCCATCCCGGAGAAATCTTTGTCATCTCTTCAACATCTTCTTCACAACTTGTACAAACACGTCACAAACTTCTCTTGATGGGACTTAAGATCAGTTTTGCCTCTTGTAACAACAAGTTGTCCCTCGAGACTCTTTTAGCCATTCTGAGACAACGAGGAGACAAAACGTAAATTTGCCAGTTTTCCAAGGAATTTTTTATTGGCTTAGTCTTCCAAAGTTGGAAGAATTCCTTGGTTTTTTCCAATAATGTTTTATTTTTTGTCTTCTAGTTAGAATTTTTCTTTGACCCGGCTATAGAATCAAGATGTTGCTGACTCTGATTTATTTAGAATGCAAATTTTTAACTTCTACTGGCGGTTAAATGACTGAGGCATTGAGCCAAGATGTGTGTAGGATGTTTTCAATTGTAAATGAAGGACCTTCACATACCACATCATTAACAAACATTAGAGTCAACCCCATAATAATTAATAATCATGGCTATGTGCCTGTAGCCTTATATTCATCTTTTCAAGTATATTGTGAGTTCTTTCTTTTTTCTTTTAGCTTGTGTATCTTTCCTTAATTTCTTGACTAATTATTGACTGAGGGTAAAATTTGTAAATTGTATGTTTAAAAACAACAATGACATCAGTCAAATGATAGGTCAAATGTCTTGTATTTTCTTTTGTTGCGTGATGAAACTAATTTTTCTTTAACTCGAATAATTCCAATTTTTTTTTTTCCTTTATAGTTTAACTGTAAGAACTATCTTCAACCTTCCGAGTATGGTTTTGAAAATTCTTCAGGATCAAATGCAGGTTTATCTGCTTTCTGTGATATTCAGTGTATGAATTTATGTATCTTCTTCTTGCAGGCATATGCTGCTGCTGGTACTGTGAATCAAAATTATGCAAATATCCTATTGATGCTTCTGCGCCTTCGCCAGGCTTGTGACCACCCATTTCTTGTCAAAGGATTCAATTCTGACTCTGTCGAAAGGGTTTCCTTGGATATGGCAAAAAGTCTTCCAAGGGATATGCTGATCAACTTATTGAATCTTTTAGAAACAAACTTGACTATCTGTCGTATATGCAATGTAAGTTTTTGTTGAACCTTCTTTTCTTGGGTAGTGGTTTTCATTTTTTTTTTTTTTTTTTTAATTTCCATGATAACTTGTTCTTATGCTTGAGCTACTACAATAATATGCATGGATTAGACGCCGTTACTGTCTGGCATGGTTTTTGTAAGGCCTTTGGTGGGTGATAAGCAACTTTTTTTTTCATAATTGTTGTTGTATTAAGCTCAAAGAATCAACAATAATACAGGAGCACAGAGGGCATACCCTCAGAGAGCTGAAAAGGAAAACTACTACGATCATGTGCTTTAATGAATAAGCTCATTTCCAGTACATAAGCACCATACCAAAGCAGAGATTACAATTTAATGTCATTAAAATTAATTCTCTGAACATCGCAAACTTCCAAGAAGGCAGTCCTTGCCACTACCTCTAAGCCCATGCTGTTGGAACTATGTAGCCTGTTATTCCTTTCCCTCCAAATATACCATAGACCAGCAGCAAACAGACTTTGTAGCTGTTTTGATTTCTGATACAAGTTGTCCATCCAACTGAACAAATCCCAAACTGTCAGCACATCATGAAATTTGCTAAGATCCCAGCCCAAAATCCCACCCAACCAGCTCCAAAAACCTTGAGAGAAAGGGCAAGTAACAAAAACATGGTCTGTATTGTCCATACTATTTTGGCAAAGTGTACATCTTGAAACCAAACAAACTTTTCTTTTCTGCAAATTACACATAGTAGGCAGCCTATCTAACAACACTAGCACAGCTGTAATGGACCATCTTGGCCGAGCCTTCCCCCAACACAATTTAAACCATGGCACCACTATATCAGTAATCCTAACACAATTCCAAGCATTTTTGAAATTGAACTTCCCTTAATCCCACAACAATTTGTCCTCCCCACCTTTAATTTCCACATTCTGCAAAAACTCTTTAACTGCTGCCATATTTTCACTTTGCAAGCTATGAAAATTCCACTCTCCATGCAAGATTATTGAACTAACCTGAGCATCCCTTTGAACCTGCATACTTCTGGCCACTCTGGCCAAATACAGCACTGAATAATTGACCATTACACCATGGATAAATGAAATTTTTTGTTTGCTGGCCATCCCCAATCACAAAATTAATATTCTGTTGCATCACATCCCTCACTGCTACCATTGATTTCCATATAGGAGAGCTAGACTGCCGGACAATCACACTCCAATAGTTAGTGTTTTGAGAATACCTGAATGTAAACCAAGATATCCCCAATTTATCTTTGCTATTTAAGTAGTCCCAGGCTAACACACATCTAGCAGTCATTTGTAGATCAGATAACTTCCTTATCCCCAAACCTCCTCCTGTTTTTTTTTTTTGTTTAGTAACAGAATCCCAATTGAGAAGATGCATCTTTTTCATATTTTCTTACTTCCCCAAAGAAAATCCCTACACTTCTTCTGTATTTGGTTAATAATTACCACTGGGATATCATATATACTGCACCAATATTGAAAAATGGGAGTAATCACAGCTCGAATAAGTTCCAATCTACCTGATAAAGAGAGAAGTTTTGTATTCCAGCAAGCAATTTTATTTGATATTTTGTCCAACAGATCCTTGCACTGAGACCTTTTTAAACCATTTGGACACAAAGGCAAACCCAGATATTTGATGGGGAAATCATCTTCAGTACACTTCAGAACCTGCAACAGCACCTGCTTTCTTCTCACAGCTCTAGAGAACAGAACCCTGCTCTTACCCTGATTTATTTGCAGCCCAGTTAAATCGTCAAATCTTCTGAATATACCCTCTAGGGCAGTTGCATTATGAACTGAAGCCTCGCAAGCCAAAATAAGATCATCTGCAAAAAAAATATGACTTATAGGCCTTTGATACTTCACCACAGATTTCAACACGGCAAGTTCTTTTCTTTGTACAGCATCAGCAACCGAAGTTGAAAATAATTCAGTGATCAAAGTAAAAAGCAAAGGGGATAATGGACAGCCTTGTCTCAACCCTCTCTCTGGATGAAAAAATCCTGCAGTTGATCCATTAAACAAGATAGAATATCTTGAGGATTTAAAAATAGCTTCTATCAACCCAATCCATCTCTCCCCAAAACCATACTTCTTTAACACTGTCACCAAACCTTCCCAAGAAACTGAATCATAGGCTTTCCTTATGTCAATCTTTAAAGCCATAGCTGGATTTCTGGGCTTGTTGAAGTCCCTCACCAGTTCATGAGCCATAATAACAGCCTCTTGAATTTTCCTGCCCTGTACAAAAGCACTTTGCTCCATTCCAACCAGTTTTGGCAGAACCAGAGCCAACCTATTTGCCATAATTTTAGTAATAATCTTATACAAAAAATTACAGAGAGCTATAGGCCTAAAATCTCCTAGTTTTGCAGCATCCCCCACCTTTGGAATCAAAGTCATGAAGGAGCAGCTTACCCCCAAAGGCATAATTTTTTTCTCAAAAAGGTGTTGAACAGTAGCAACCACCTCCTTGTCCACTACAGCCCAAAAAGTTTGATAGAACCTGGCAGGGAAACCATCAGGTCCTGGTGCCTTGTCAGGATTGAAATTCATCACCACCTCCTTTACTTCTGCATATGTAACTGGCCGTTCTAAAATGTCATTTTCTGTGTTGTTCAAAATTTGCCTAGTAGTTATATCACACACACCTTCAGAAGATATTTTTGAGAAAAACTCTGTGTAGTAGTCAACAAACCAACCACTAATAATCTTAGGATCAGTTGAAACCTCCCCTTCCTCATTCTCCATTTTAATGGTAGCATTGAAATTCCTATGTTGTTTCAGCTTTTGGTGAAAATAAGAAGTACATCTGTCAGTATCCCTTAACCAATTCAATCTAGCTTTCTGAGCCAACATAATTTCTTGATCAGCAAGAGCAGCTTCATAATCTTCTGTAGCCTTTTGTTCTTCCTCCAGCAACCCATCAGAAGGATCCTTTGGAAGACAGTCCTGGACTGTTTCTAATCTCAGTGTAGTCTTGATGACCCTGTCTCCCAAGGGATATATGGATAATTGAATTTTTGTTACAACCATGAATTTTGATGATATCTAACAAAAGCAATCTACACTCTGAGCTTATACGTCCTTAAAAGCATGTCATGCAGGGTACTTGCATGGGGTGTGTTGGTGTGGTTTTCGGCCTCGTCTCATTTTATTTTCAACTTTGCTCAATTTAGTGAGCACAAGGAGTACAATTGTGAACGAGGGTAGTTGTAGTATTGCCACATGATATTTGCCTCGCTTGCAGACAAGTCTTTGGGTGAGATTGCTTATGAATGATCGACATAAATGCGAAATAGTGTTCTGATAGTAGTAAGTTTAAGCTTTTTTAATTGCTTGTGGCCAGCTCTTTGGACCAACATGATAAGTCAAGGACCATAAACCAAGGCTCTCATGTAGAGTTAGCACAAGGTCATTGAGCTAGACCTAGTAGTGAATAGGTCTTAATTGCTTTATTGACCGAGTTTAACTATTAAATTTTAACTAAATTATCAATAATTTGAAGTATAAATTGAAAAAATAATCATAAAATGACAAAACTACTCAATTCATTGTGCAATGATCATATAACCATCAAATATATAATATGATAGCAAGGATATTTTACAGTTCCTGGCTTTACTGTATGGCAGCAGTTTGGTGGAGAGGAGGAGGTTGAGTGGATCTGTATAGGCAGCAGCTCGACGTCCGCTCCTATAGGAGACTGGTAGATTTGTCGGCATTTCAGTTCCTTGGAAGGCTATTTGGTGTACTAAAGTCCCGCTAAAGGTGACATTTTTCGGATGGATGGCAGTCTTGGGGACGATTCTGACGATCGATAACCTGAGACGGAGACGACAGATTATTGTAGACTGGTGTTGTGTGGGCGAGAGGGTTGAGGAGGCAGTGGATCATCTTCTCTTGCATTGTCCAGGGGCTAAGGAGGGATGGGACTTGTTTAGTGCCCTTTTTGGTGTGAGTTAGGTCATGCCTTTTTCCACGAGGAGCATGCTTGAAGCTTAGAAAGGATGTATAGTTGGAAAGCTAGCTTGAGGTGCTTGGTGGGTTGCCCCTCTTTGCCTTTGGTGGAGCCTATGGCGGGAGAGGAATAGAAGATCATTTGAAGGGGAAGAAACCCCTACTTGTTTCCTCAAATTCCATACACTTGGTCGATCACATAGCATGCTTGAGGCACTCCTCCATTGAACACATCTTGCTTCAATTCTATGATTAACATGCCTATGGGTGGGTACGACCTACGGCAGATTTGAGGTCCGCACATTCCATTACCATTTGATGGATGCTCAGGGATGCCCTTTCCTTGGAAAAGGATTTGGCATTACTGAGCCCCCCTGAAAGTGGCCTTTTTTGGTTGGACAACTACTCTCGGGAGGATTTTGACCGTTGACAGTTTGAGAAGGTGACTTCAGGTTTTTGTTAATTGGTATTGTATGTGTAAGAGGGTGGAGGAAGTCAGTTGATCATCTTCTTCTTGATTGCCCCCCAGAGCTAGGGATGGTCAGGATATGCTATGTGCCATTTTTGGGATCCAGTAGGCCATGCTAGAGCACCCACTGGCTTGATTAATGCTTAGGGAGGTTGTCATGTGCGCCGCCAAGTCAGAGGTGTGGAGGTGATGTAGGACAAAATAGCAGCCTCGAATAGTTGAAATAAATAAGAGTTATGGCTGAAAGTTCAAATGAACAGGTTTGGGGTTCAAGAGGCGTTGGTAGAAAGAAAGAATTGAAAACAACAAAAACCTATTGGAATCTCACCAATAGGGTCTAGGCATTACACCTAGGGAAGGCCTCACACCATTAGAATTTGTGAATGACTCGCAAAGAAATCTCAAAGGGTATTTTTTATTCATTCATCGACTGCCTCACCAAGATTACATTCTACCCCTTTTATAACATTCTGTGAGTGCAGCTCGTTACCCTTGGAGTACCCCATAATTAAAGTAATCAAAAGTTGACTCTATAACATAATAAAAGTAATCACCCCATAGTTGAGGCAATCAATATTTGACTCTAGGATTACCCCATAATTAAGGTAATCAATACTTACCTAATAGCATAATTAAAGTAACTAAAAGTTGATCAAATCTCCCAATTATTCAAAACTCCATTTGGACCCATATTATCTAGCCTATGCCAGCTCGAATCTTAGAATCCTCCTTTTGGTGCCTTTCATACACCTTTAAAGATTTCTGCCATTGATCTCCATAAGGAGACCCATCCCCAACCGCCCTCCTCCTCCTCCTCCTATGCTTGTGGTGGGCCTTTTGGAATGAGAGGAATAGGAGATACTTTGATGGAATTAGGGGGTGTTTAGATATTCTTTTGTGCATAGTTTGAGGCTATAGTTTTTGTGCAATTGTTATGGGTTGCGCCCTCCTTTTGGGCGCTCTTCAATGAGTACTGGTAAAAAATAATAATAATAAAAAATAAATAAATAAAAACATCATTTTCAATTTCGCCCTTTTTGTGAATTATCTAGTCTAGGCAAGGAAATTGTCTCTCTTTTGGTATATCTTGACTCTAATTCAATTTCTTATATATATTAATAAATACAACTGATTTAAATTAGGCCCACCATCTTTATTTTCAAAAACAGAGAGTCAATAGTGCATATTCCATAAAAATATATATATATATATATATATAGAGAGAGAGAGAGAGAGAGAGCTCTTTTTATAAAATAAAATATATGTATATATATATATAAAAAAAAGAATTAACACATATAAGATGGAATCTTACCTAACCCCTCTTTCTCTCCCCCATCACTCTTTTTCAATGACCACGTCTTTTGCTCCTACCGGCCATTCTCTCTCATCCCCCTCTATCTTCACAATTTAAGATCTACAAACACAAAAACAAAATCAATTTTACACCTCCATGCCCCCATTGTTTCCGGCCGTTCTCTCTACTTCCCTCCATCTACACAATTTTCACATCTATAAATACATCAAACTAGTTTCGATTTTAGATATATATATATGTATATGATACCATGTTGCACTGGTTTGGCTCCCTTCTCAACTTCTTCTTTGGCTCTCTTCATCTTCTTCCTTCACTACTTCAGGCAAAAGAAGTCCGGTAAAATAGCTCAGTCAAAGCAGCCGGGAGTCTCGAGAAGAGGAGGGCAGACCTCGATTCATGGGAATCAGATCTGTGTGCTGTGTCCGATCGGTGTCCGGCGGCGTCGAATATATTAAAAAATAAAGGACACGGTTAGCGCATGTCGGACAAGTGTCCAAGCATCGGACACACGTGTCTGACACTGGTACGTCGATCCTAAGTACCATGTCAGTGCTTCGTAGATCCTTGGTATAAGAAATTTACTTGTTTTTCTCACAGTTGCCCTTATTATGGTTACAGTTTCATCGTACATGGGCTTTAACTTGTGAATTTATCTACTTTTGAATCCTTAATATTCTAAAATTCACCATATTATTGTTAGAGAGTTGTATTTTATGTAGGGGTAACTTTGTCTTTTCATTTCTTTTAGTTTGTCAGCCTTTTGGGCATTTTTATTATTGTATTCTTGTATATTAAGTTTTACGATTGAATAATACAAACAACTGGTTCTCTCTCTTCTTCTTTATGTGATATTAGCACTTATATCGCCAGAGACTGTATAATAGGATTTCACCAATATATTAAAACCGTAGGAAGATCTCTACTATATTATGTCTCTAGGCACCTTAAAGTAGGATTTCTTGAAATCTATTACAACCAAATGAAGATCTGTGTTGTTCTCCTTGTATCTTTCCATTAATATACTCAATAAGTAAGAGCTTTCATCGTTGACCTTCCTGGTATGAGTCCACAATTGATTGTTCAATACTACAATTTCATGTTTGGTCGTTGTTCAACAACTCCTACAAAATTTTATAGCATGACTCATTAATTTGATATTTTAATGATTCGTACAACTTTGAATACTTCCCATAGTATTATAGATTAGTACTAAAATGGTTCTGTGCCACCATGACATTTTCAAAGTTATTATCCTATTGAATAATTTTGTTAGCCAAGTCACACCATCATGTGAAAATTTCCAAGCCTCAATGGGATTCCATTCTGTCTTAGAGCCCTTCTTGTTTTCATATTCCTGTCCTACACTTTCCAATGCACAACCTCCAAAACAAAATTTGGATTCTCCTTTCCAGCAGAGTGCGCAATTTAGTGGGTAGTTGTGCTCCCTATGTTATATGAAGAAGCCACAACTAATCTGTCATAAACAAGTTTAGAAGGCATTTTTCTAATTTCTCAGTTACAGAGGCTGAAAGGAAGCCAATAAAGAGCATCCTTTTCCCCGATGTCCTTTAAATTCTTTTTTTCTTGAAGAGATTTAGCATTCTTCACTCTGAATGCATCCCATGACCATATTTGTTGCTTATTCAATGGTAAAATAGTGTTTGTTTCTTAATTTCTTACTCTTTTTTTCTATGACATTGAAAGTATATACAAGCAAAAAAGAAACAACATGCTAAGACATAGTTGTTAAAGGTGTACCTCGCTCTAGGCTCATCATACCACAGAGTGCCTCATTCGATGCCAGGGAGGCCTCTTCAATCAGGTGCACTTGAAACTATTAGATGTGCACTTTTTCTAGTAATCTCCAGTCTCAAGATAAATGACCCTTGAATTATATCACACGCACTTTACTTTACTGAACTCCATGCCATATGTTGCACCTTGCGCTTAGGCTATGGGACTTTGGCGCCTTAGCATGTAAATTAATTAACTGTGTTAACATATGACCCTACGACGTAATTTTGTACTATCTGATTCTTTTACAGGATCCACCTGAAGATGCGGTTGTTACTATGTGTGGACATGTTTTTTGCCGTCAGTGTGTATCAGAGTTTTTGACTGGAGATGACAATACGTGCCCTGCATCTGAATGCAAGGAACAACTTGGTGCTGATGTTGTATTTTCTAAGGCTACTTTAAGGAGTTGTATGTCTGACGATTTTGATAGTTATCCCTCGAGTTCGTTTGAGTTTGCTGAGAAATCTATAGTTATGCAGAGTGAGTATAGTTCTTCTAAAATCAGAGCTGCTCTTGAGATTCTCCAGTCACATTGTGTATCGAAGAGTCCAAGTTCAGAACCGTGTAGTTTGGTGCGTTGCAATGGAAATTCTGGTTTTAATGCTGAAAAAGTCACAACAGTACACTTAGACTCACAGGCTGAAGGACCAATAAAAGCTATTGTTTTCTCCCAGTGGACTAGCATGTTGGACTTGGTAGAATTTTCATTAAACGAGTCATGTATACCGTACAGGAGGCTAGATGGTACTATGACTTTGGGTTCAAGAGACAGGGCTGTCAAAGAATTCAACACTGATCCCGAGGTTTGACTATTTCATGGAAGTGTGAAATTCATCATCAATTTCTTTGAAATCATTCTTGAATTTCGTTTAAAGTGTGAATTTGGTCTTTAAAGTGGTATCTAAGCATTACAGTTGGAGTATAATATCCAACTCTAATTAGAAGTTTATCCCATAGGCTATTATAGCAGGCATATAAGTTGTCTACTTGCGTGTTATATTCTGAGTAGTTCAATGTTATGTAACATACTGATGCATCATAATTTTGTATTGTTAGACATACTAGATCACCAAAAAGAAAAAAAGAAACGTATTAATTTTCCTTTGTAATGTATCAACTTTTATGTCTGTACTGTGGCTATTGACGATTATACTTTCTTCTTTTTCCCTTTTTTCTGGTGGGTTCTAATTAGGAAAACAAGAAAACAAGCACCACAGTGTAGAAACTGAAACAGAAAATAAAGAACAAAGAAAAAGAATCTAATAAATGATCAAACTGCAAGTGCTCATTGAATTAGCAATTCAATAAGACTTACTGAAAAAAATAAATAAAGTGAGCAATTCAATAAGATAGCTCAGATATACCTCTTCTCCGAGCTCTTGGAATTGGAATAAGTTCGGTAGCAGATCACAAAATCTTGGAATCTTGTAAAGGAGAGAAATTGATTATGAACTTGGAATCTTGTAAAGGAGAAAAACTGATTATGAACTTTGTGAAAGTGAAATTTGGAATATTAATGATACCTACTGTGTCATTTGGTACAATAAATATTGTTTGATGCCTATGTATCATATTGTGTGTCATACAATTTTACAAATATGTTGGGTCATGAGGACCCACTTACAATCTCGGAGGTTTCTGGAGATAGTATTATATAGATGTGCTTTGTTCTGGAACCATGGCATTGCTAATTTTGATAATATGCTCCAATTAGCTTAACTTGGTGTTTACTGTTATCATCCAGATTAAACTTCTAGTCTTTAAATAATTCAAATATTTTGCAGGTGACTGTTATGCTGATGTCTTTAAAAGCAGGAAACCTTGGTCTAAACATGGTTGCTGCTTGCCATGTTATCCTTTTGGATCTTTGGTGGAATCCAACTACAGAGGATCAGGCTGTTGACCGAGCACATAGAATTGGACAAACTCGTCCTGTTACTGTATCACGGATCACTGTTAAGGACACAGTTGAGGATCGGATATTAGCTCTGCAGGTATAAACTTTTACCCTTTATCTTGTTCTGCATCAAGTATGGGTTTTGTTATATTTGTTCCTAAGTCACATAAAGTGGGAGCGGGGGCAAGAACGAGTGTGGGAGACAACAATTAAATATTTTGTTAAAGCCGGCGTGTCTTCGGAGCATTGGTATACGTTTGTGCACTAATGTATACCTCTACGCACATATATTTGATCTTTTTTAAAATTTCTACTCCATGTGATATTTATGTTTGTAATGATGTCTTCAATATTATAGTATATATATATTCTTTAATTTTTATTGTATTCAAGAAATATGTGCAATTTATTAATTAAGAATATGGTTCTAATTTTATAAATGAATTGGTTAATAAGCACCACCCTAAAAGATCGAGCCTTTTTATGTAAATATAGTAATAAATGTATGGGCTATGTGCAGAATGTCCCTCTCCAAATAACAGAGGACTTAACTTCTGGATTAAGTTATTGATAACTTGTAGCACCTTCGCACAACAGAGGAGGGTGGAGGAGGGAGCTAAAAGGATTTTATTTATTTATTTTATTTTTTCAACAACCCAACTCTCAAAGTATATTTATCAGGACAGTGTTCTTTCTTGGCCTTCTTTCCCTTGTCTTCTTCTTCTTCTTCCTCATTCTAGCTGCCGATACTCAACTTCAGATTCAACATTTGTGATAGAAAAATAAAAATTCTAGGGTTAAGTTGTTGGAGGGCTGTCAAACAATCAAAAACTCATAATCTAAAATGATTAGATGCATGGGAGATGAATTTGAAAATTCCAAATATGAAATCACAGATAGTAAAAATTGCGTTTGCAATTGGTTCAGCATCCACTTTCAAATTGTAATTTTGTGCTCGGAACTATGGAGGGGCGCCTTTGACTGGTGAATGTGTGACTTGGATAATTTCTTGATGGAATGTGACCTAATAGGCTGATACAAATTGTTCAGGCTGTGAAGGGATCAGACTTTCTTCTGGCGATTCTTTTTAATTAAAATATCTTCATCATACTTCTCATCATTTTTATGACTTTCCTTATTAGTTTTCTTTAGTTGGCTTACAACCTGAATTATTACTTTTTTATATTCACTCAATCCTATCCTTTTATACTACTTTCACTTTAGTAATTCTAAATGTAGGAATAAGGGAAATTAAAGGTTTTCATTTTAACAGATACCACAGTTGACCATTTTGCTATTGTAGATCGTTACAATAAAGCGAGGAGGATTGAATAAGTTGTAGGACTTAAGCAAGATAAGTGAGCTGAAATGCTTGTTATATTAATTATAAAGATAGGAACATTCAGTTTGGCATATTATCTTTTTTTTTTTTTTTTTTTCCTGACAATACTAGGCATATTATCTACTAACTCTTGTGGAAATTATTAGAAACTAGTGTAAGATGACTGTAACGTTAGATGTTTTCTTTAAAAAAAATGTGCGTTTTCCAAGTGTATGTCTTGCTTACGTGGGGTGCTTAGAAGATAAGACTAGAGATACACATAACCTTTCGTGTATATATATATATATTTCACAAGTGGTTGCTTTCGGGCTTGAACATGAGGACTCATCCAGAAGAGTTATGACCCACTAGTTGTATCCATATATATTTTCTCTGAATACTGAGTAATTTAAAGTAATCTTCCTAAATTTAAGTAATTATAATTTTATATTAAATCGTGTTGAGTGTCATGTTAACAACCAGAGAGTCGTGCAAGGTCCATGATGTAAACCGGGGGGGGGGGGGGGGGGGGGGGGGGGGGGATGAATAAGGTTGAATTGATTACACTTTTTAACTATATTTTGAAATCAATCCTAAATTATCATTATTTTAATTTCAATTCATAGAGAAAAATGAAGATGATTCAAACAATAGCCTGCAATAAACAGATAAAGCAATGGACGCAATTATTTACGTGGAAACCCAAGGGAGAAAGCCATGGAACCTAGTCTAGGAAAATGGAATCCACTATGAGAAAGGAAGTTTACAACGTTAGATTAACAGTTCCCAAAATCCTAGAAACCCCTAGTTACCACCCCGACACAGATGACGCCAAACTTTTCTCCGAAAGTCTCCAGGTTGTTTGTCCGCTCATCAACAGACTTTGCTCACAGATTTGCTTTTCCACCAATGAATTAGTCTCAGCCACTTGTCATCAAGGACTTGTGATTCAATCTTTAAAAATGAATTGGAGGTTGTGTTGAACTCTTTGTGGTGTTTGTTGCTTGAAAGAAATAGAAGATCCTTTGAAGGAAAGGAAAATCATATTGGTTCATTGAAGTTCTCCATTCTTAGCACTCTTTTTTGTTGATCCTAGGGAGAAATTGTAAATCCTTGGATGAGCTTGTAGAGTTTTTGGATTTGTTGAGGGTGTAGGGGCACTATTTGGCCTTGTGTTGTTTTTGAGGGATGCGTTCTCCTTTTGAACGCTTTTAATGATTATTACTTATCAAAAAAATAAAATAAGTGATAAGAGTGTAGTAGCTAAGTTGGTAGTGTGCTTGAGATTTATGCTTAATATTTCAGGTTCAAGTCATGGGTGCAACATTAATTGATCAAAAAATAAAAAATAAAAAATAAAAAATAAATGCAATAACAAAAATGTCGGAGCACTCTAGAGCTCACAACTCTGCTCTCTCAGTATGTATCCTGGATGTTCTTCTTTGTGCATTATATTCTGCCCTAGCATGATATATATATATATATATATTGGCCAGTGAAAACTTGTAAGAACATGGATTGAGGTGTTATTGCCAGTGCTTACAACCTAAGGTTTTGTTTAGTTGGAACCACTATATGTCATAGTGAATCAGTGACAATAATAATAAATTACTGTAATAGCTATTTTTTAGAAATGTTTACCATTTACTGGTTATCAATATAATATGTCATAAATATTATATACATTAATTATATGAATTGACATTTCATCTTTCACCTACTCTAAGTAAACCAAAAAAAATAATAATAATAATTCATCGTCTTTCATATGTCACATATATATTCACGGTACCTGTTTTCATTAGGAAAAGTGTGCAGCACAACCTTTTGCTTTTTACTTGACATTGTTGTCTTTAGGGCTACAAATGAACCGTGCTCTCATGAACAGTTTAGGCTCAATTTGTGAATAAGCTCGTTTAGTTGGTAAACGAGCCATGTCAAGCTTGATTTTCTAGTTTGTTTCAAAAGCGAGCTGAGCCTAAACATGCTTAAGCTCGGCTCACCAGGCTCGTAGACAAGTCAGCCCATAAGAAATTTGGGTTTGTAAGTTGGAGAATATTATTATAGGAACGATTAAAGCTTTTAATCACTCGGTGATCATCATATACAAAAATGAAGAGAGTATAATAAAGATATGTAACTTACCAAAAATAAAATAAAGATATGTAGCTCTTTGGGCTTTGTTTGTCGTGGATGTAAGCCCTAGTGACTGAATCATGTATATCCTTGTATTCTTCATTTTCTAATTTTGACATGGTATCAGAGCAGGTTTAGCACACCTTACTATATATATACTCTACTCATCTCGAATCTTTGGATCTGTATTTTGGTCGGATCTCAGGATAAACTCGTCTCGAATATCAAGATCAACTCGTCTTGGATCTTCGGATCAACTCGTCTCGAATCTTCGGACCAACTCGTCTCGGGACTCTAGACAACTTCGTATTGAGTTAAAATCTCTGTGCACCAAGTTACCAACACCCCGGGGGGGGAAGAATGATTAAAGCTTTTAAATCACTCTTTGACATAACAGTGATATGAGGGAATCAATCGTTGGAGTGATTTTAGGAATCTTTCCATCAATATCTTTTTCATATTTATCAAATGTTTATTTTCTTTCACTTATAAATAGAGGTTATCATTATATACAAAATTAAGAGAGTATAATAAAGATATGTAGCCCTTCGGACTTTGTGTGCCGTGGATGTAAGCCCTAGTGGCTGAACCACGTGTGTCCATGCGTTCTTCATTTTTATTTATCTCTTCAATTTTGACAATTGTATTAATGCTCGATAAGGTTAAATGATTAAGGCTCTAATAATGTAAAAGGCTTTTAATGAAACATATCTTTTTACAACAAATAAATAATAATAATATTTTTGAAGCCCAAAACATTTGTACCATATGATGCTAGAATTCTAATGGCTAGAATTAAACCCTACCCAACAAAATAGAGATCTTGCCTATGTCTCCCTTGATACCCTAAGCAACCGCCACCCACTTCGTGCCACAACCATCTCTTTTTTGTAGTTTCTACGGACCGATGCCGTGCTATTAAGAGTCTCTATTGCTTCTTTTGCTTGAAGGAGGGAATTTGGATGCCATAGCACAAGTGTACCTCCACAACACAACACAACTCCACTCAACTCAAAAAGCCTCGTCACAACTTTCGATTTGATTATGAGAATCCTGTTCTGACATTTTGCTGAGTTTAAAGTCAAATTTAGCTCTACCACACAGTAGAAATATAAAAAGAAGAAAAAGGAGAGAATTGTGTAAAGGCTTGAATAAGATGAATCATTCATTCACTGCTCTAATATTTATTGATAACTAGAGTACATGCTTATATTATAAGAAAGGAAACTAAATCAAATCTAAATCAAATCACAACATATTCTATGGCATATTCTATAGCATAATCAAAACTCTGCTGATATGGTAAGTCATTCCATAAATCGTGGCTATCATATATGTTAACATATGTATGGTCAAATCTCTGCTATTATGATAAGTCATCCCATAAATCGTGGATATCATATATGTATGCTAACACTCCCCCTCAAGTTGGTGCGTGGATATTTGAAACGCCAAACTTAGACAATGCATTCTCAAACACAATCTTGTTGAAACCCTTTGTAAGAATGTCTACAAGCTGCTGAGGGCTTGTGACAAATGGAGTGCAAATTTGACCAGAGATGATCTTCTCTCGAATGAAGTGACGGTCCACCTCTATATGCTTAGTCCTGTTATACTGAACGGGATTTGCTGTTATGCTA